TAATTGATTTTTATTTTTTAGCCAAGCACCTGATATTGGGATCTGAGGAAGGGATTTATACCCTAAATCTAAATGAACTGCAGGAAGCCATACTAGAACAGGTAAGGTCAGATCTCACTGCCTCATATACACGTGTAAAACACACACTAATATTATCAGTACATGATATATTCATTCACATGGGCGTGCATGCATACTTGCATCTGAGTATTAAATATGCATGTGTTTTTGTGTTATCTGTGTACAAGTGTCTGCATTTAAACTATGTGCATGTTACCACTGCATTGTAAAATGCCATCTTTGTGGCCTGCTAACACATGCTTCCTTATACACACGTTACCTAAATGTGCTATTGTTTGTGTATCAGTTATCTGTTTGCATTTTACTGGTGTGTGTGCATGCATTAACAATATGCCTGTTTCCCCACATTTGTCTAACATCTGTGTGCATTATTTGTGTTTGAGTTACCTCTATGCATTTCATGTTGCTGTGTTACCTGTGTCCTTGTAACCCCTGTATTACCTGTGTCTGTTTATTTACTATGTTCACAAGTATGTATGAGCTACCTGTAACCACTTGTTACTTGTTTCCCATATGTTATCTGTGGCTGGTACTAACTTATATGTATATATTACTCATTTACAAGTTTCCTTATAGTGTGGAAACAGGCCATTCAGCCCAACACGTCCACACCAATCCTCTGAAAGTATCCCACCCAGACCCATCCCCTTAAGCCCTTCATTTCCCATGGCAAGTTCACCTAACCCACACATCCCTGAACACTATGGACAATTTAGCATGGCCAATCCACCTAATTGGCACATCTTTGTGACTGTGGGTTGGAAACCAGAACACCTGGCAGAAACCCACACAGACACGAGGAGAATGTGCAAACTCCACACAGACAGTCGCCGAAGGGTAGAATTGAACCTAGATCCCTGGCACTGAGAGGCAGCAGTGCTAACCACTAAGCCACTGTGCCACCACAAGTTACCTCTCATGTAATAACTTTGCTTAATTGGACTCTTGCTGTTAGTTGAACTCCAGTTTCTTGTTTCTCAGTTGTATCCAGGCCGCTGCACTTGGGTTTATGTCATCAGTAACGTATTAATCAGCATCTCAGGTAAGAAAAGTCTCACACTGAAGCCTCAGACAAACTGTGGGAAACTGGACTATATTATGAGTTGTGTTCACTCTCAGAACCTCATCCATCATTAACAAATTAACCAACGTAATTCAGATTCATAAGGAGCAGCTGGCAAGATAATGGTGTAGTAGTAAGGTCATTGAGTTAGTACTCCAGGACCTAAAGTTAATGTTCTATAGACGTAGCTTCAAATAATGGCAGATAAAATCTGAATTTTAAAAAAAAATTGGAATGAAGAGCTGGCCAAACCGCAACCTTGCAACAATGTTGATTATCATTAAAAAAAAATTCATCTGGTTCACTAATGTCATTTAGGGAGGGAAATTTGCCATCTTTACCTGATGTGGCCTATATATATTTCCAGGAGTTGACTCTTAATGGCCTCTGGATGATTAAAGATGAACAATAAATACTCACCTAGATGGCGATGCCTTTATCCCATGAATAAATTTTTAAAAGGTCTGTGTACAAATGGAGATCATTATGGTCAACAATTATCACCTCCAACTATGGAGAATCTAACCACTGTACCTCGACATCTAATGGCATTTCCAGCAAATACGCAACATCTACCACCTAGAAAGAAAAAGACAACAAATGCAATAGGAAGACCACCATCTGCCAGTCACCTTTCAATCCTCTCACTTTCCTGACATGGAAATATATCGCCATTGTTTCACTGTCACTTGGTCAAAAACTGGAACTCCCTAACAGTATTGGATGAGGGTATTGCTGGCTAGGCCAGCGTATATTGCCCATCTCTAATTGCCCAGAAGGTAGTTGAGTGTCAACCACATTGCTGTGGGTCTGAAGTCACGTGTAGGCCACACCAGGTGAGGATGGCAGTTTCCTTCTCTAAAAGGCATTAGTGAACCAGACGGATTTTTTCCGACAATGGATTAGTGGTCATCATTAGATTCTTAATTTCAAATTTTTATTGGATTCAAATTTAAATCATCTTCGCCTCAGCACCATTGATATAGACAGGGGTGTGCCTTCCACTCCACTTCCTGAAGTCAATGACCAGCTCCTTCATTTTACTGATGTTGATGGAGAGATTGTTGTCTTTATACCATACCTTTTTCTTTCTGACTAACTTTTATAGACATTTAGCATAACTTCTTTGTTTTGATATCCCTACTTGAAAAGCTGAAGATCCCAAACATTCTATTAACAGTCTTTACAACTTTCCTACCAACTCCAAGTGATCAATAGATTTCTACATATTTTTAAAAAATCAAAGGATATAGGAATGATAGAGCAAAACAGCACTGAACTAAAGATTAGTCATAATCTCACTGAACTGGGGATCAGGGCAAAAAGGCTGAATGGCTTGCTGCTGCTCCTGTTCCTTATGTTCAAAGATTTGTGTATTATTGCTCCAGCTCTCTATCACTGCACCCTCTTATAACATTTCATCATTTAGTTTATATTGGTTCACCTCATTCTTTCTACAAAACAACTTCCATCTCATAATTTTCCTGCATTAAATTAGATCAGCAATATCTTTGCCCACATCACCAGTCTACGATTTCTTCAAGTTTATTTCTCTCCTCCTTACTACCTAGTATAATTCAGATGTGATGTGTCATCAACCTTTGAAATTATGCTCTGAATACCCAGGTCAAAGTCATTAGTGTACGTCAATAAGAGCAATAATCCTAACACTGACTTTTGGGGGGACATTATATACCGCTCTCCAGTTTAATACCATTCACCATTGTATTCTGTTTTCCGTTGATACAAGTTCATATCCCCACAGTCACTGTTTCTTAGTCCCATAGGATTTCATTTTGTTGGCAGATGTATTTTGTGGCAATCTTGAAAATCCATTTCTTACCATCACTCATCATACTACCGTCACCAAACCTCTCCGTTTACTTCATCAAAGAACTAGTCATAGAGTCACAGAGTCATGGAGCTGTACAGCATGGAAACAGACCCTTCGGTCCAACTCGTCCATGCCGACCAGATATCCTAAATGGATCTAGTCCCATTTGCCAGAATTTGGCCCATATCCCTCTGAACCCTTCCTATTCATATATCCATCCAGATGTCTTTTAAATGTTGTAATTGTATCAACCATCACCATTTCTTCTGGCACATCATTCCATACACACACCGTCCTCTGTGTGAAAAAGTTGCACCTTAGGTCCCTTTTAAATCTTTCCCCTCTCACCTTAAACCTATGCTCTCTAGTTTTGGACTCCCCCACCCTGGGGAAAAGACCTTGGCTAGTCACCCTATCCATGCCCCTCATGATTTTATAAACTTGGATAAGGTCACCCCTCAACCTCCGACTCTCCAGGGAAAATAGCCCGTCTATTCAGTCTCTCCCTATAGCTCAAACACTCCAACCCTGGCAACATCCTTATAAATCTTTTCTGAACTCTTTCAAGTTTTACAACATCGTTCTTAAAGCAGGGAGACCAGAACTGAATGCAATCTTCCAAAAGTGGCCTAACCATTGTTCTGTACAGGTGCAACATGACCTCCCAACTCCTATACTCAGTGTGCTGACCAATAAAGGTAAGCATACTGAATGCTTTCTTCACTATCCTGTCTACCTGCAACTCCACTTTCAAGGAACTATGAACCTGCACTTCAAGGTTTCTTTGTTCAGCAACACTCCCTAGGACTGTACTATTAAGTGTATAAGTCCTGCCCTGATTTGCCTTTCCAAAATGCAGCACCTCACATTTATCTAAATTAAACTGCGACTACTACTCCATGGCCCATCTGATCAAGGTCCTGTTGTACTCTGAAATAATCTTTTTCACTATTTACTACACCACCAATTTTGGTGTCATCTGCAAACTTACTAACCATACCTCCTATGTTCACATCCAAATCATGGATATAAATGACGAAAAGCAGTGGACCCAGCACAGATCCTAGTGGCACACCACTAGTCACAGGCCTCCAGTCTGAAAAGCAACCCTCTACCACTACCCTCCATCTCCTACCTCAGAGCCAGTTCTGTATCCAGATGGCTAGTTCTCCCCGTATTCCATGTGACCTAACCTTGCTAACCAATCTACCATGTGGAACCTGGTCGAACACCTTAATGAAGTCCATACAGATCACATTCGTCGCTCTGCCCTCATCAATCCTCTTCGTTACTTCTTCAAAAAACTCAATCAAGTTGGTGAGACACGATTTCCCAGGCACAAAGCCATGTTGACTATCCCTAATTAGTCCTTGCCTTTCCAAATACATGTAAATCCTGCCCCTCAGGATCCCCTCCAACAACTTGCCCATCACTGATGTCAGGCTCACCGGTCTATAGTTCCCTGGCTCTTCCTTACTACCTTTCTTAAATAGTGGCACCACAGTTAGCCAGTCAAGTTAGTCAAACATAATTTGTTTTTAACCAGTTGGAGCTGGCTCTGATTTGAAATCCATTGTGCACGTATGTGTTTGTGGGAGGGGAAGATTAGAAGAAGTAAACAAGGACTGATCAGTCTCATGGGGAGGAGCCCTTCACTCCTGGTGTGGGTCATATGCAAATCAAGTTCTCCATTCTTAGCAGTATCCAGGGTCTCTTCTTTCTTTCCATTTGTTGTGATTGGGGTGTGCAGAGGATCCACACTTTTCTCTGAGGTATTAACATAAAGCAGTGCTGGGCCAGGTTAATGTGACTTGCTTGTTCTTCCAGGGAAGACACTGCAGTTACACTCTCATAGCCTGCTAGGACTGTACGAACAGGCCAAGAAGGAACAGAGGTCAATGGTTCACATACCAACACACCGACTTTTGCCCAGGTAAGGGTCAGACCTGACAGGTGAGGCAAGTTAAACTGAACCGAGACTTTAACTCAATGTTGACATGTTGAGTGAAATAACACATTTTGTGGAGTTCTTTATTTTATTACTTCATTCAGTTCCAATGACAGAGTTTTCATGACTATGGAAATAGCCATGTGAGATAGGACAGAGTTATGGGCAAGGGTAGGTAACTGGATTAGCGGTATTGTACTTATACTTGTGTCGGTATGTCTTCTGCAGGAAGAATGCAACAACCAGTAAGATTCCAGACACCAAAGGCTGTAGGAAATGTTCTGTTGGTGAGTAAATTAGGCATGTACATTGCATCTCTCACATAATTATCCATCCTGTCACTCAACATTCAAATCACCAAACAATTCCCCATCTGCTTAGCCAAATCCCAAACATTTCACTCAACTCACCAACACCCCATACCTTCATTCCAACATATATATATCTCATATCCCCCATTGTAAAACTCTGACATACTGCACATACCTTGCTGAAACAATGACATATCCACACACCTTGCTATAGTACTGATACAATGCATGTACCCTCATTACAATGCTGATACTTCCCAAACCTCTCATAGTAATACTAAAATACCCATCACGAACATGCATATGAATTAGGAACAGAAATAGGCCATTTGGCCTTTCAAGTAGGCTCCACCATTCAATAAGAAATACTGATATATCTCACACTCCTCAGTATAATATTGAAAGTCCTTCACTGTAACACTGATTTACCCTACACTGTAACTGTAAAACTGATATACCCCACATTTCTCACCGTAATATTGATATAGCCGCACATCCTTTCAGAAACAATAATATACCTCATTCCAGAACACAGATATACCCCACACCACAATACCCTGATGATAATCCACACCACACCATACCACACAATAGGGGGAGGTGGTGGTGTAGTGGTAATCTCACTGGTCTAGTAATCCAGAATTCCGGGCTAATGTTCTGGGGACAGTGGTTCGAATCAAACCCTGGCAGCTGGTGAAATTTGAATTTAGTTTTAAAAATCTAGAATTTAAAAATTGCCGAAAGGTGACCTTGTTGGTTTTGTTTCAAAAAAAATCACTCACATCCTTTAGGGAAGGAAGTCTGTCATCTTTACCTGGTCTGGCCTGCACGTGACTCCAAACCCACAGGATTGTGGTTCACTCTTATACTGCTCTCTGGAAAACAGTGATGGGCAATAATGTCAGTGATGCCAACATTTCATGAATGAATTTTAAAAAGAAGTCACTGAAAAACTGATATACCCACACACCTCTGCTATAACACTGATATAAAGCAAGTAAAGCCTTATAGTCCCACTTGTTCATTAGAGAGAGACACACACAAAGTTTAATCTGAGGGTCACCACACCTCAGTGAAGTTGAGAAAGTGAGACCTTCTGGTATCCTCAGCCAGTACAGGAATTGAAACCAGGCTGTTAGCATCACAAACCAGCTGTCCAGCCAACTGAGCTAATCAACCCATACCAAACATCTGTCATTAAAAAGCTGATATACCCTACATTTCTCCACTGAAGTAATGATACATCCCATATCCCCCATTGTAACATTGATATACCCCATGCTCCTCACTGTGACACTCAGATGAAATTAACACGGATCCTATTTCCACAGTGCGAAACTCCCCAACAGGATGTTGCTACCTTTGTGGAGCGTTGGAATCCAGTATCGTTCTCTTGCAGTGGTATGAGCCCATGCATAAATTCATGCTCATTAAGGTGTGTTCTCACTGTCCTCCTCATCATTATTTGTTGAATGTCAGTGTTTTGCAATTAAGCTGAAGACAAAACAGTTATCAGTTGATTCCTTGTCGGACAGATCCAAAGATCTTCGTTTTCTTCATAATCAGAGGTTTGCAGGCCTATCTGATGCGAGAATTCAGAACAAGGGATCATAACCTTAAATTAGAACAAGGCTATTTAAGAGTGACATCAGGAGGCATGTATTAATACAATTGATGACCTGAAACTCAGTTCCCTAAAAGGTTGTTAATCCTCTGGAACCACTTGAATTTTCAATACTGGGTAGCTAAATTTATTAAACTAAATTAACAGATCAGGTAGGAAGTAGCAAATAAAAATGAGGGTAAATACTGTATATGGCAATAAAATAGTATCAAGGGATGTTAAGCAATGTTAAGGTATAAGCCAGCCACAATCTAATTGAATGGTTGAACTGACTCAAGGGGGTGAATGACCTACTCCTCTTCCAAAAGTCATTCTGAAGGTTTAGTTTGACTGGGGAGGTGCACAAGTTTTTAACCAAGCTACACAATGGTACTGGATGAGATTTTAGGTCCACAGGTACTTATAAACAGTGTGAGACTGATTGTGTGCTATGTGCCCTAGTCTCTACTTCAAAGCATCACTTTATCCAGTTTGGATGCCAGCTGTATGACAATGTAGTAGTGTAGTTTCTCCAGAAAGTCATCAGGGCTCTAAGCTAAATTGCAAGAAGAAATTATAAAGACCGGGCTTGTACTCCATAGAATATAGACAGTTAAGTGATTTGACTGAGGTGTTTAGAACTTTGAAAGGACTTGATATAGGATAGACACATTTTTCACTGTGGGGGGTCTGTGATGAAGTCATGCAGGAGGAAATAAACATGCCACACAAATGCCGATTGTAGTATGGAACCTCTCTCTGGTAAGAAAGCAGTAAATACTGGCTCAATTGATCACTTTAATTCTGAGATCGATTTTTTGCTAGCCAAGAGATTTGGAGCCAAGGTGGGCATTTGGAGTAGGATTGACCTTGATTTCTTTGATTAGTGGAATAGGCTTGAGGAGCTGAATGGTTCCTGCCATTCCTAAATATCTAAGTCAGATGACTGATTTCAGGGCGGCTGGGAGTTGTTTTCGTTCTTGAGGGAGTAGGATGACACAGGCTAGAATCATTTCTCGTAGCATCTGGCTGACAGAAGACTTCTTGTCTCATTTGTCTGAACTAAGTTGAACCCCTGTGCCAGGAGGTAGAAGACAAGAGGTCTGATCCATTGTACCACCTATGTCCAATTAATGCTAAAGACTTATATCACATTCCTAATTCTGTATCAGAGTTTGTGAAGGGAAAAGGGCTTCCTGTTCCCAGGCTTTGCCCAGTGTCTAGACATCAGGGGTATTGTATGCTTTTTAAAAAGTGAAGGCTTGAGTCATAATCCCCTACTCTTTCTTGCTCGAGCATAAAAGAACCTCTCAGCAATTTATTCCTTTTCCCCTCTTCTTTGAGAATATGTCATTTAGCGGATGAGGATGAAGTATCTTGTCTTTGGGAAGCTGCCCTGGAATTGCAAAAAAGGTTCTGGAGCTCTAAGTAAGATGCTAGCTGTGACTCTCGTGTCTGAGTCAAAAGGTGGTGGATTCAAGTCCCATACAAGAGGATTCTGCACAAAATCTAGGCTGAGACTCCACTGCAGTATTGAGGGAATGATGCGCTGTGAGAGGTGCCATCTTTGAGATGGTTGATAAGCTGTGGCTCTGGTTATCCTCTCAGCTGGATGCAAAAGACCCCATGGGTATTAGTCCAAAGAAAAGTAGTGAAATTTTCCCTGATACCTTGGTCAATATTTACCTCTCAATCAACATCATTCAAAATTAAGGTGCTAACATTGGACCTTTCCTTTAGCTGCCTTTGACGTTGCCCCCTTTTATGTTCCAGCACTTTGACTTTCCACTGCCGAATCCACTTCGAGTTTTGGAAACGCTAGTGGTTCCAGGTCAGGAGTATCCAATGGTTTGCGTTGGGGTCAGCACAAAACATTCCTCCAGCAAGGCTGTAGAGTTCCAGACAATAAATCTCAATTCTTCCTCATCCTGGTTCACAGATTTGGGAACAGGTGAGTTACTGTTACAAGTACTAAGAAAGAAAGTCAAGTTTCATCTCTACACATCAAGGCCCAGAGTGCGTGTCTACAGCCTTTTCTGATACACTAGGTGCAATATATTTATCTCCCTCCTAATAGGAAGGATGTTGTGAAACTTGAAAGGGTTCAGAAAAAATTTACAAGGATGTTGCCAGGGTTGGAGGGTTTGAGCAATAGGGAGAGGCTGAATAGGATGGGGCTATTTTCCCTGGAGCATCGGAGGCTGAAGCATGACCTTGTAGAGGTTTGTAAAATCACGAGGGGCATGAATAGGGTAAATAGACAAGATCTTTTCCCCAGGGTGGGGGAGTCCAAAACTAAAGGGCATAGGTTTATGGTGAGAGGGGAAAGATTTAAAAGGGACCTAAGGGGCAACCTTTTCACGCAGAGGGTGGTGAGTGTATGGAATGATCTGCCAGACGAAGTGGTGGAGGCTGGAACAATTACAACATTTACAAGTTATCTGGATGGGTATATGAATAGGAAGGGTTCAGAGGGATATGGGCCAAATTCTGGCTAACGGGACTAGATCAATTTAGGATATCTGGTCAGCATGGACGAGTTGGACCAAAGGGTCTGTTTCCTTGCTGTATATCTCATTGCTTTCTGATTCTATGACACCAAAAGACTCTGCGCTTGCTAAATGTAGTAGCCTACTTGTTCTTATCCTGGCTATCCAAAGGTCATTAGTTGAAAATCCACAGCATGACCTGTGCTCAATAAATCTAGTTGTCTCTTGCTTAGCTAATACAGATAATAACCATGTGTGACATCATGAGTGTTTGCTGTGGATTCTGGATGTTATCCTATTCACAGTGTTATTGCATTGAACTTCATGATATCACAGGGAGAATGTCTGCTCAAGTGCCCAAGGTGGTAAATCTATTTCTGTGAAAAAAGCGATCTTTTAAAGGCTGCAAAAATAAAAATACCCATAAGAGAAAAGAATCAAGGGAAACTAATAAAAATACATAATAGTGTTGGTCTAGGTGTGCATTTCGCACTCCAGTCCTTCCGATTCCCAGTAGTCTTAGAAGATCTCAAGTATACTGGTGGATGCTGCCTGTTCCTTCTTCAGGGTCACCCAGACACAGACAAGATTGTATAAGACATGCAGGAATCCAGAACAACGCCCCCGATGTGAACACATTGTGGCCACAGTCCGCCTCCTTGGTACACAGTTCTCTCTTGACTCAGAACAGCTTGAGGTTGACAGCAAATATTGCCTCATCAGTGTTTCACACACTCCAAGAATAAATTTCCCATCATAATATAATTATTCACTGACTCCAAGGGGAGAAAACGCTTGTTGACTTTCAACATCTGGGTATTAGTTGTTGTTCAGATAACTCTACCTTCAATGGAGATGTGAACATCTTTATTTTAAACAGGGTAACTAATGCCAGCAATTAAATTGCAAAGAAAGATCAGGGTGAATACTTGTCTTCACCTTCTTGGTATCAATTTGGCACAGCACATGCCTGTGACAGATCTTGGACAGGTTTCATTCCAGTGAAATCTTTGAAAGCCCACCAGGCTCTGTGTTAGATTAAACAGTAGGCATTAAAAATCCACCCCATGGTCTGCCAACCTGGTGCTCCCAGACTAGTCCTTTCACCTGTTTCTACTGTGAACTGTGACAGCATCATGTTTATTGTTCCCAAATCCATTTCTATAGCTAGATGGATAAGCGTGGGAAGACCAACAACTGTGAGCTCCCCTCCAAGTCACACACCATCCTGACCTAGAGATATATCATCGTTCCTTCACTGTCACACGATCAAAATCTTGGAATTTCTCCCTAACAGCATTGTAAGTGCACAAACACTACATAAACAGCAGTGGTTCAAGAAGGCAGCTCACCACAACTTTGTCAAGGGAATTTAGAGATGGACAATAAAAGCTAGCCTAGCAAGTGATGGCCACATTTTGTGAATTTAAAAACGTATCTTTTTAAAATAACTTAAGACAGCTTTATGGGGAATGATGCTGAGGTAAGGTTGCAGAGACAATCTTTTTGCTTTTTGGATATTTCTTCGAATGTAAATTAGTTGAAGTAACACTAAGGTTTCTCACTGCAGCATCTCTGCAGGAGGAGTTTGTTCACGTGAGTCAACTGGACGATGACATGGTACTTGTGTGTATCGGCCGTAAGTACAAACACCCCGCACTTGCTCGATTCAGTTTGAGGGCTGTCTGTGGCTACCAGAATAGATCAATATTTCACGAAGAACAGGCAGTAGGGACATAGCCAGCTTCAAGCAGCTCACTTGGATAGATATACCAACCGGATGTAAATATTGATATTACAATTATCTGTCTGTATATAGCAACCAGCCAATTTTAATTCCAGAGGACAGGTAGAAAATGGGCAGCTATTCTACCAGCCTTACACCTGGGTGTTTGGCATGTCTAGCTCATTGAGTTTGTGGCTTATTTGGTACTTCTAGCAATTTGGTTCAAGCTACAAGCCCCTCAGAGGGTGAGTCCCTACAGGCCCCTTGAAGGATCACTCCCTGCAGTGCGACTGGCCAAGCCCTCCACGGGAGACTCTCCACAGTCCCCTTGGAGAGTGACTCTCTGCAGGCCCCTCAGAGGGAGACTCTCAGCAGCCCCCACTGAGAGAATTTCATAGGCTCGTGTGAGGGAGACTCTTCACAGCCTGCAGTGAAGGAAGAATTTAACAAACAAATCCCTCTGCTAGAGGTTGAACTGATAAATAGCTCCCTGTGACATTTAAGAAATCAGGATGGTGATGGGGGCAAGGAGGGCTGGCTTTACCGTCAGCAACTGCCACTCCTCCTGGAACTTTGCACCAGAAATGACAGCAGCCAGTAAAAGTGCTAACCAAATATGGGCGGACATATTTAAAGTGGGCAATGATAATATGACGTCACATCACTTTTTTTATCATCACCATAGCAACTGTGGGTCTTCGTAACTGCAGCATCTTAGTGGTGCCCAAAGGCTGACAGGAGATATTTCACATTTTAAATGTTAAATTTCTCTCCCCTCCTCCCAAAGTGTCAGCCACCATAGAATCGTAAATTTTATCATCACAGGTATCCTCCCATGTCTGTCTCTGCTAGTCTGGCCAAACTCTACCTCAAGCTCCTGGAAGCTGTAGAACCTGAGATAGCCTTATAGCATAGCAATGAGGCTGACCCCAGGACAGATGGCGTAGTCACTGCAGGGTCAATCAAGCAGATAGATGTACCCCCTTCTACCTATCCAACCTCACAGTCAGATGCCAGATTCACTGAGCAAGAGCTGGGCCTTCTCAATTAATTTAAGAAGCTTATTTTCTTTCAACAGAAAATATAAAAATTGTAAATATTCACGGATACCTCAAGTTGAATAAGGAGCTGGTCCCAGAGGTGATGTTTGATGTCCCAGTGGAATCAGTCGGTAAGGAGTTACAAGTTATTTCAGATTTGACTGCTTTAGCTTTTATAAGTTTGTGCTTTTCAGGACTAGTTTTGGGGGAATGCAAGTGCTTGAAAATGGAGATTTTCCATCTTGGATACCAAGTATATCAATGCATGGGTTAAATACAATGTAAAGCTTCCTTTATATGCTGTCCCACTTAATACTCAGAGGCAATGATCCCTTCAACTTTGTTGTGCGTCACCTATTTACTTCTGTGCGCAGTACCTTCACATTGTATGAATAATTATACAGAGTACATTGTCTTAAAGTGAACGAGGTTGTGAGTGACCTGCATAATACTTTCATTGTTGTTGCACAGGCACGCACAAATGCAGCTTAGAGGAAACATTGCTTTCAGGTACATATTAAAAGTCTTAGCAGCGGTGTTTACTTTCCCTGAAAATTTTCCATTATAAATTATTTTACCCCATCAAGCACAGATATTGGAACTTATAATGTTAATAATTAAATATAGAGTTAGAATGGATGAGTTTAAATGTAGTACTAAAATATTAAACAGTTTAACACATCGTCTATGCATCCTTTAAATGTAGCATTTACTTATACTATAACATTTTCCCAGCCACACTTTGCTTAAATTGCCTCCATTGCTCTAATTTGGTCCCACAGGAAGTAATTGAGGTTAAAAGTATTGATACAGTTGAGAAGAAATTAGGTAAGAAATAGAAAGATATGAGAGGAGATTCACGTGGACCATAAGCATCAACATGCCAATTGGGCTGAAGGACCTGTCTCTGTGATGTAAATTTTATGCAGCTCACAGTGACTAGTATCACACATAATCTGAAAGTATTTATACTGTATGTGCTTTCTTTTCCCTCATCCAGTCTGCTTCTCTGACAGCGTCCTGGGATTTTGGAAACATGGGATGCAGCGGAAGAGTTTTAGATCCTGTGAAGTAAGTACAGTTTTGTTTCAATTGCTAAGTAACATGCGGATCACAAGGGAGAAGGGAAGACATTCACTTAATGGAAACTGATTCTCAATGTTAGAGTCTGCAAAGGACTTATTTGGGAGGCAATTTTTAGAAGTGTGGAGCACAAAAGGAGACCATCATGCCTGTGCAAGTTCTTTGACAAAAGCCTCCAATCTGATCTAAAGAGTAAGCTTATTTTACAGTGAATATAACATAGGGTTCTTTCTAATTTACTGAATTCTTCCACCTTATCCCTATATCTCTTTGTACCTATAAATCAAATAATCTCAGTCTTGAATATACTCAGCAATTGAGCATCCACAGCCCTTGAAAGTAAAGAATTCCAAATATGAATTAGCATTCTCCATAACTCAGTCCAAAATGCCTTACTCCTTATTCTTAGGCTGTGACTTCTAGCTGTATATCAGCCAGGAGAAACAGCCTCTCTGCATTTAGCTTATCAAGCTTTTAAAGAATTTTATACATTTTATTCTTCATAATGTCATAGAATATAGGGCAATTCTAGTCAATCTCTTCTCATAGAACAATCCTTTGATTCAATGAATCAATGTACTGTCCTTAAAACGAATATATCCTTCCTTGGGGAAGAGAGCCACAACTGTACGTAGAACTCGAAACATGGGACAGCAGAAGAATCACACTAGACTTGAAATATTAACACTGCTTTTCTCTTCACAGATGCTGGCAGATCTGCTGCGTATTTCCAGCATTTTCTGTTTTTAGTCAAAAGATGTGCTCAGTGACACAAAGTTTTCATCACTTGAGCAGAGCAGCTGGAGTACTTGAGGGAGAATTTGGCTACCTGTGTGGACTACTGGCCCTGTGCTCACCTGCTTGCACCATTCTGCAAGGCAAGGGCATGCCTTGTAATGCCAGCCTTTTAAAATCAACCTCCAGAACTGGTTCCTGTCTTCTTCCTGCTCCCACATTCCGTCATTGGACGCCAAACTTATTTTCAGGCCAACACTCCATTCATGTTCCCAATTGCTTGCTATAGCTGCATATTAAATTTCAATCGTTTGTGCACAAGGTCCAAATCCCTTTGAACAACAAAATGTAATCATTTTTCACCATTAGAAAATGCTTTGTCTTTTTCTTAATTTTCATTACCAATGTGGATAATTTCACATTTCCCCACATTACTCTATTTTCCACAATTCCACAATTTTAATTGACAATATCTTTTGAAATCTTTTAATGAGTTGTTTAAGAAAAAGTTAACCGACTATATATTTACGTGAAACTGAGGAAGTAGAAATAGGAATAGGCGCTCAATCCAGACAAGGTAACTTTCAGTACTGATATTGGGAAGTGCTTCTTCACATAAAGAGATTAGGATGTGGAAGAAACTTCCAGGTACAGGTACAGAAAAAAAATTACTGCAAAAATTGAAGAATGCCTTGTGATAAGGGAAGTCTTAGTAAGTCTGAAGGGGCTTAAAGGTTATGAACACATGTTGATTACTCTAGGCTGGAATTCTGTTGACCTATTTTTCCTAATCAACCTGTTCAGAGATATTACCCTCTGCAGCAGGTAGGACTTGAACCTGGGTATCTTGGTCCAGGGGTAGGGACACTACCACTGCATCACAAGAAGAACCTTGGAATTCTCTTGATCAAAGGAGACTAACAGTGAAAAGCTGCAATGTTTAAAGATGATCAATGAATTTCATAAGATAGACTAAGAGAAACCATTTCCTGCAATGAGGGAGTCCAAAACAAGGGGGTATAAATTTAGGATTAGACCTTGGTCATTTAGAATGAAATCAGAAAGCAATTCTTCATGCAAAATATTGATGAAATATAAATTCCCTCCCCAAAAGTGCTGTTGAGGCTAGAGAAGTGTTTAAAGGTTAAAACTGAAATTAATAGATTATTTTAGGTGGGGTAATGTGAGATATAGAATCAAGTATAGTAAATGGAGTTGGGGTACAAATCAGACATAGTCTAGTTGAATAGTGGAATAGGCTGAAAGGGCTGAATGTCCTCCTTCAGTTCCAATGAAGTCCAGCTCCATAGAAGGGAGGCAAGGTAGCAGATAAACCTCCGCTTTACCATTTACACTTTTGGTGCTATGGATTTTACCAGGGCCAGACAATTATTTGTTCTGTATGTTCGTACAAGTTTGTGTGGAAGCTTCTTGTTCATCAAGAGCTTTGTCATTTATGAGTGTTTGCTATTGAAACAAACAAGGTTTCACCTTCCAGTTTTCACTCGTATAGAACTATATGATTCAAAAGTCCAGTGAGCATGAGCACTCACAGAAGGAAATCCAGCTAAGACGTTCATGTCACCATCTGTAATCAGGTGTATTCAATGACATAAAATCATGTACAGATTCAGTGTATGAACACAGGCTGTTCAGTCATAACAAACTGTCACAGCAGAAGAGAGGAGTCAATTGTGAGGGACAGTGGTGTGGTGAGGAGAGGGGAGAAGTTGGAGCAGCAGTGGGAGAGGCTGTGGATAGGGAAGCGGAGGTCAGTGGAGATGGGGAAAGAAAGGTTTGAAGAAGTGAACTGGAAAGAGGAGAGGAATGAATGCAGAGAAGGTGGGGTGAATACAGGATATCTGGAGAAAGGCAAATTGAGTGGACAGGATGAGAGTTGGGTAGCAAGAGGATGGGTGGAGCATGAGTCAGAAATAGGCGAGGGAGATGACTGGGTAGAGAGAGAGGTGCAGGGGAGACGGTTGGGTGGAGAGAAGAACAGTGAGTGTATAGATCAGGGGAGAGGGTGAGATGAATGGAGTTGATAACAGAAGTATTAATTAATAGTATTATTTGTGATTTGATAATATTCAGTTCTGTTCAGAAATTATTCAGTTCAGAAATGATCAGAAAAATGACTCAAGCAACATTCCTATTTATTTACAGATTTTTGAGGAGAAAACAGAACACAGTCGACTTTATCGTTTTTTGGGAGCTGACAGGTAAGAATCTCCAAAAGTAGTCACGTTATGCACTGAATCACATTGCTTTGCTATGTGACCTTTGGAAAACCTTGATTTTATGGACCTTGTCATTTCTGTAATTCCAGATAAAACAGCCCTTGGGGTCATCTCGATAGAACCAACCTAAGCCATAAGATTGTTTGATAAACTGTTGTATTCCTATGGCAGTTGGCAAAGGTTGAGGGTGCTTAATCTGTATCATAGATCACTAAAACTGCAACCAGAGAACAGTTAGATTGGTTTAAAAATTGTATACTGTGGAAATGAATAGCAAGCATCTTGATCCAACAGATTCTATAGGATGGGAGAGGATGGGAGAGGATGGGAGGGAATGTGAAGCATTTTGATCGATTGGGATTCTGTGGGACTAAGTGAGATGAGATTTGGCTTATTTTGGGATTCTGTACAATGCAATTGATGGGTAACCGTTCAATCCATCTAGAATTCTGTATTTTGGGATTCTGTACGAAGGGAATAAATAGGGAAGGGGAGGGCAATTAAAATTCAATGCATTGCAGAGAGTGAATGGAGAAGCACTGAATTTCCAGATAACTAATCAGGTTTGTTGGTGGTCCAATAGTTTCCTAGAACCCACTGTTCATGTTAGCACGTGAAGAACAATCACTTGGGGTATGTATAAGTGGATGCCCAAATGGCATGAATGTACCCGAAACCTTCTAGAAATGTGGGGCAAGCATCAGATTTTGGGGAGGTGTGGAGCTTAACATACACAAAAATGTTTCAATTAAGTGGCTAACATCACAGTCAGTTTTAGCTATTAGGAGGATCTCTTTCAAGGGAAAGTAACATCTTGACATTGATATGTTGTGTCTTTCTTTAAAGCTGCAGACTGGTGGTCTTTGAAACCAAGCTGGCCGATGACCCCACCTCCCACAGCAACCTCTATACCATGCAAGTGCCAGAGAATCCCTTATGCAGGATGGGAGGTGTACAATCAGATGGGGCCACAGCCTGGCAGTGAAGCCATTCCTATGGGCAAAACAGGAGCTTTGGCAGCAGGACAAGGCTTAAAAGAGGGGATATTTAATACTGTTGACCTCTCTGCATATCATGTTGGGTGTGGGTGTGGTCCTCGCCTGCTGAATCTGTATTACAGTTTTGGAATGCGTGTCCTTGTATTATAGCAACATCTACCAATTCAACAGCATGTAAAGTTTGAATGATGAATATTCTAAAGTAGAATTGAGAAATGAATGAATTAATTGATGGTATTCTATAAATAAATAAATTTATTTGACATGATACAGTATACCTTTCTTCTGTGCTTTGACTTTAATCTAGAGTTTAGTCAGTTGTGCCAGAGAGTGGATAAAATCTATTAAACGGTTATACCCAATGCATTAGGATATGCCAATCAGAAAGGCATGCCCAATACACACCGCAATCAACAATTCTTTTCCCCAACCTGACCATTTTCAACAATTAGGTTGAACCACTACTTGACTACTAGGTGTACTTGCTGTTCACATCCTCTCTATTCCAAGTCGACTTACATTTGCCTCTACTCCACCTCACCTCATCTGCTGCTGAAAATCTTGTCCTTGCCTTTATGACCTTCAGATTGGACTGTTCCAATACTTTCTTGGTCAGCCTTTGGCCACTTGAACTTCAGTTGGCAGTGGCGTCTGTCAATGTAGGTGTACCTGTGCTGGATTCAGATTCCTGCTTCACTGAAACAGACACATTTTGGGAAATATCAGAATGGTCGTTCATTTGCTGTGTAAATGAGTGAATAGAATCTGTAAGTGTTTGTGGGCAATCTACAAATCAGTTATTTCATTCAGTTTATAAAACTTATCAACTGATTGAGTGTATGAAGGGAAAACAGAAGGCCAAATACTTAAAAACAGCCTCACACTGGGTGTCTGGTAGGGGTAAGATTCTTCAGTGGAACAGCCATTCACAGTAAGCAGCCTTATTGTTATGTGAAAAACAGAGACCCAGGATGAGTTTGTCTACAGTTCTTCTTAGGCATCCTTCAGAATCGAGGAAAAACATGTTTCAATTCCAATTAGATTAATGCTGAGACAGCTGATAAATCTAATTTACCATCTACAGACTCTCCAAAGCTGCAGAGCGGTTGGTGTTTAAAAGGTTGGAAAGGTAAGTTGTTTGGAGGTTAGTGAGCTCTCTTAGACATGTCAGCTTCACCTCGGCACATTTCGGATGCACAGTGCTTTCCTGAGTGAACCTTCTCGGTTTTGGAATTCCCATAACCAAATTGCCGAAACAACTCAACGGGTGAGCTTTTCTACCTTCAGTTGCATTTTGAGTAGTTAACTTCAGTTCAATCCTTTTCCCAATGGCTCAGTCTCAGATAACCCAACTCCCTGTCTCTTGTTTCAGAGATAGCAGGAACTGCAGATGCTGGAGAATCTGAGATAACAAGGTGTAGAGCTGGATGAACACAGCAGGCCAAG